TGGGAATAGTACACATGCTGTTATCACAATTTTTTCAATTAATAATACATTATGAACATTTTCTCTTACCCTTTTTAATGGATTAATAGTATTCTATGGTACTTCACTTGAATCAGACAGTTCCTTGTGATTATACCTTTAAGTTGTTGCTCATTATTTGCTACTAGATTACAACTGAACAGCCTTCTGGCTAAATATTTGTCCACGGTCATCATTCTTTCTCAGGGTAAATTGGTAGGTCAAGTTTTTTGACTGTCAAGTTGGCCTGCCTACCAGCGGGATTTGAGAATGATCATTTGCTCACATGGGGTATTATAATGAAAAAATACCTTCATGAATTTAGTAAGCACATAACTAGTTACTTTTATTTTGCAAGCAGCCCTTGCAGAGCAAAAGCAAGGGATAAGCTGAGCTTGAGAAAGATGAAGTGTGATAGGGGAGTGTAGGGAAGGCAGAGCTGGGATTCCCTTGCAGGGATGAGGAAGAGCTGTCAACCCACAGAATTACTCAGGTAGTTTATCTGCCCCTCCCAGTGACCAACAGGAGCTGTCTCCTACTCCAGACAGCTCTGAAAGGTCATTCTACTGTCAGAACTCCCCAAGCTGTGGCCTGCCCTGAGTCTGCAACCACCCCCAACTGCTTTCTCACAGATCTCTTCCTCTTTTGCACCACTATTGACCTCAAGACCTTGATAAGCTTCCTACATACTAAACCCAGCCCTGAGTCAGCTTGCAATCAACCCAGCCTCTGACAGGCTGCAGAAATCTAGCATGGACCAGCACAAGCCTAGAATGTTCTGAGGCCTGGAACTTCTTTCTTTGAGCTTCCAGGACAACTTGGGCTTCACCCAGACCTGAAAAGTTTTAAGCCTTGGCAGGCAGCCCTGGAATGCCAGGAGGCCGGAGAAAAGCCCCTGGCTACGTTAGTAAAGTAGTAAGCTGGGTGAGGATTTACTGTACTGCAATCCTTATTCTCTTTCATACCCAAGATGATAACATCTCCAGAAATAACAAGAGCCATAGCTGTCATTGTACAATGACAGTGTGTTATCTTTGAGATAAGGAAAATGGCGCAGAGAGGGTAAATGACTTGCCTGAGCTCACACAGCCAGGGAGTGGTTTGAATTTAAGCCAGGATGCTATGCTGCAAGCAGCCCTTTTTACACTTCACTAGAGCTATTCAGTGGGAATAATCATATAACCTCCAGGATTACTATTCAAGTGAAATGACACATAAGCTGCCAAGCACTTAGTATAAGCCTGGCTCATAGTAAGTGGTTGATAAATAAGAGCTATCAATCAGGAACCCCACTGGGGCCTCACTTTCTTCTGAGAATGAAATCACAACTCTTTTTATGCGACCTGCATGTCCATACAGTACCTGACCCTTTCTATCATTCCCTCACTTCCTTCGATTCAGTGAACAAATCAGACTCGTTACAATGCAGGCGCTGTCTGTCCAACATTCACAGAGGCGGTGACCCTGACTTCAGGTTTGAGGAAAGCAAGCAGCTGTATTGCAAGTCAACTGGCAAGGAGGCAGGGGGTAAGCTCAAATCTGTCTCTCTGGTGAAGAAAGGAAATGAAGTTACATACGTTTTGGGGATTGGGATCGAGAACAAAGTTAATTCTTTTTTTAAGATTTTCTTTTCTTTTTTTATATATTAAAAGATTTTATTTATTTATGCATACAGAGCTGGGGTACAGGCCAGAGGTGCAGGGGGTGAGAGGATACATCAGAGACAGGGCGGGGAGCAGAACTGGCAGATTGATGAAGTACATTGCTGAGGGGAGCAGCGGGCCAGACAGGAGAGGTCTGTCTCACCCTCTGGGTCACCTTCCTGGATGGGGGTCGAACTTATGCTGAAGCGATATTTTATCTTGCATTTTTTATTAGTGAAACTGGGCATCTTTTCATGTTTGCAGCTGTTTGTCTTGTCATTGGTCATTGCTTCCATTGAATTACTCATGTTTCTTCTTATTAATTGGGAACACAGCTTCATGTGTTAGTGAGGTTGGTACTTTGCTATATTTGTTGGATCCTTTAATTTTTTGGTTACTTTCTCCTAGTTAAAAGTGGTTTTAAATGACTGCATAGTTCACGCCAGTAGTAATTCCTATTTTGGATATTTTATTTGCTTTCATCTTCCCACATATTATAAACACCATGGTGAACACTGGTGGGTATGCACATTTCTTTAGGAAAATTTCCAGAAGCGGGATTTATGGAGTCAAAGGTATGCACATTGAGGATCTTACCACATACCTACAAAAAGCACCCTAGAAAAATGGTGCTACTTCACATACAAATAGCACCTGAACACCATTTGTTCAAAACGGTGTTTAGCCTGGCCAAATTGAGAGGTATTTTCATTTCCTAGGGCTGCCTTAACAGATTACCACAAATGGAATGCTGAAACAACAGAAATCAATTCAGAGTTCTGAGGTTAGAACTCAAAATTCCAATTTCAGCAGGAAGAATCCTTCCTTGCTGCTTTCCTTGCTTGTGGTAGTTGCGGGCACTCTTTGCCATTCCTAAGCCTGCGATAGCATAATTCCAATCTCTGGTTCTGTTTCACACTGCTTTCTTCCCATGTGTCCTTACATGACCTTCTTAAAAGGACACCAGTCACTGAATGACCTCATCTTAATTAACTAGTTACATCAGCAAAGACCCTATTCCTACAGTCAGGTTCTGAGGTCCTGTGGATATGAATTTAGGGGAGACACTATTTAACCCCATATGAAAAGCATGGCTTATTAACATTTTAATGTTTAGTTCTTATTGCAAGGTATCTCTCTCTCTCTCTCTCACACACACACACACACACACACACATAACCCAGCCCAGATATGCTAATTAACAAGTTATGGGGCATCTTGACTGAAGACTGGCTTCTACTTGCTTGTTGCTTGGACAGGGCCCCACCTGAGACAGGTGATTAACCAAGCACATTTTAATCCTACTGCCCTCAGCTTGTCATAAGGTATTGTAGAATAACAATAATTCTGTAACAATGCTTCCTGCTTTGTTTTTGCCAGCACACTGCCCTCAGGTTGAGATGCCTATGTGACAATCTTCAATTCTCAGTATTACTATTTGAAGCTGAAATCATGCTCTTAAAAATTTTACAATAGCTCTGCTCTTCTTCAGGTCTTAATTAGCCCCCCAGGTCTGTACCATCTTTGACAGATATTTCTTTAGGCCTCAACTGCATGAAGGTTATGTCTCAGGTATCTGGCCAGTTTTTAGGGTGATTCCTAGCTCTGCATGGGTTTCCTAGCTTTTCCCCTATCAGCTGTAATACATGATCCAGCCAGAGCCAGATCTTGGTGAAAGGTGGGAGGTGAGTCAGTCTTCCCAGGCCAGTTACAAATGCTTCTTCCCATGGTTCTCCTCTGCCGTCCATTAGTCCTCCTGCATTTCCAGTCTCTTACAACCATCCGCTCTACCATCCACTCTAATCAGCACAGCAACAGCCTCCAAGCTCTTCTGCCACTCGTCTGCCTCCCATCTAATCAGTCTGCAGCTATTATTTTTTAAAGATTTATTTATGCTATTCTTCTTATAAAAGAACAAAACTTGTTGCTTCCTTAATATTTGTCAGCAGCTATTCATTTCAGTCAGATCTGGGTAATCCACTGTGATTCACCAGGTCCCCAGTTCCATTTATTTTCAACCTTCAGCCTCCCTCACTTACCCGTCTTTTAGTTCCTCATATATAACAAGTGTTGGTCTTCCCTGGTAACGCAAGGGGTTAAGTCTCAGCACTCTGATGCTACCAGCAGCCACTACAGCATAAGTTCAATTCCCAGCCAGGGAGTGGCAGCTCCCCCTGGGCCCTCCTGGCGCAGCAGACCTCTCCTGTCTCACCCGCTGCTCCCCTCAGCAGTGTATTTCAGTGGACCCACCTGTACTGCTCGCTACTGTCTCTGGTGAAGCCTCTCACCCCCCGCACCTCTGGCCTACACCCGTTTTTGTGTGCAAAAACAAGTATATCTTAAAATGTAGGTATATAGCAAGCACTTTCCTCACTTTGTGCTTCCAAACTGCTACATCCTCTGCTTTGCCTGCAAAGCTTATCTTTATGACCTTCAGATCTCAGCTCAAATGGAAATTCCGAGGCTTCCTGAAACTACCATGTCAATCCTGGTGGTTCTCTCCTTGATTCTCCAGAACTTTTGGCCCAGTCTGTATCTATGTTATAGGATGATATTTACAGTATCTCCTGTAGGAATTCAAGCCCCATGCTTACCACCATGTGCCCAGCACCTAGCAGTGGCTCTGACCATGCCCACCCAAACATTTGTTGAGTGATCAGAATATGATCGCTGAACCCTCTCCAGAGGCTTCTGGTATAACCTCCGTATCTCTCTGCCAACAATTACTCCATGAGTCAGGATCTGTGATTATGTTAATTGCACTTAATATTCACAAAATATTCTTTAATATTCACAAAAACCCCATGTAGAACATACTATTACCCTCATCTCACAGACCAGGAAACTGGAACTCAGCAAGGTTAAGCAATCCACCCTTGGTTCACACAGCTAGAATTGGTGTGAGGATTCAAACCCACTAAAAATTAAACTCAGAGCTCTGGTTCAACTTTATCAACATCAGATGGGCTGTGGCCTAAAGCTGTATGGCAGCTTGCCCTAAGACACTCAGCAAGTTAAAGGCAGGCAAGACAAGACTCTGGCACAGGGAGTAGACCGAGACCTCCAGGCCAAGGTCTTTCCCAAGCTGAGGAAATAGTGCTTTCATAAGGTAAGCCAGTTAGCTCTCTTCTGTGTGACTTAAGAATACAATTGTAAGTTAGAAGGCAGATGAAGGAACATCTAACTCTAGCTCATGTTTTAAAAACCAAATTCTCTGGAAGAATTTGAGAAACACTAGTCTCTGCCCTGTAGGTATTTGGAGAGGACTCTGAAGCTGTCTTAAATAACTGACAAATAAAGTTTACATATAGTTAACAAAGCATCCAATGCAGAAGCAGGTCTGAAGACAATTTACATTTATTTGTGGATGACTCTAACTATACATATTTCAAACACAGAAGTTAAAAGAGTCTGTCAGGTGAAGCCAGTTCTTGCAAAAGGTTAAAGATGGTCCATAAGGAAAACTTAACCATCATCTTCAAGCTGAGGCCCTGGTTCCGGGCAAACAGTTGATGAGTGGACCTGGTTCTTCTGGCCTGGGCAGAGACTTCCGAGGAACTATTCTTGGTTTTCATACTTGTGCTTGATGTGTTTCCACAGCTTCTGCATTTTGAAGACAAGAGCCACAAACTTTCAGTTTCACCTCTTAAATTTTACAACTACTCCCACTGCTCTGGTCTCTAAAACAAGCTTGAGAAAAACATGTACCAAATCCTGACAGCTGTGGTGGCTAAAGTGGAAGCAACACTAGACTTAAAACGCTTACTACTAACATTTATAAAATACTTTGATGCTCTCATCACACTGTGAAGTGGGAAGGGATGATCTTAGTTTTATAGAAAACTGAGATTGTGGGAACTGCTCCAAAGCACAAAACGATTAAGAAACAGAACCTAGAAGTTGTCTCAATTCCTCAACACTCCAATATGACTCAAGAGGTCCTAAGTGCATAGTCCCCAAATACTTTACAGTGAGTCATTTTTTTTATTTCCTCTTTTATATGATCCTTGGGGAAAGAATTACCTGGATTCTTGTCCTAAAAGCACAGACAATGGGTGGATTATGACAGCATACTTAGATGCCTTTCCCACTCAAGAGGAATATGGTCAATAATTTGTAAAACAGCCAGCTTTAGGAGAGATGGAATACTCTGATAGGGGCAGAAAGTTGTCCCAGTCACAGACAATAATAGCATTAGCAAACATAGCTGACAGAGTCTGCCCAGTCAGTCCTGCATTAAAAGCATTAGTGAACAGTGGAACAGGTCTATGGAACAAGATCTTCCCCCGTACAAGTCACAATCTAAAGCTATAGAGCATGCACAGTACCAAGCACATGTCATTAGTCCCCACCTTATGCTTCTACTTCCTCCCAAAGAAGGTAATGTTATTGAGTGGTACCACGTAGGCACTGTGGCATCTTGCCTGTAATCATATAATCCTTACAATAATTCCCTGAGATAGTTATCTTCCCTGAGATAATTATCTTTATTTCACAGATCAAAAAAAAGTTCAGCCGAGATTAAGAAACTTGTCCGACTTAATGCTAGAGATATTAAGTGACAAGGCCCTGTATCCCCGTGCAGGGACTGTGATTTCATAGTCCCCACTCTTAGCCATGATTAACAGCTAACTGCCTGCGTGGGAAACCTTGGGAAGTGAAAGTGCTGTCTGAAAAGGTCGGCCACGTTAAGATGTCCTCTTCACGACCCTCACCCTCTCAAATACTCTCCAAGGGGACGGATCGGGGTTCCAGCCCTCACTGCTAGAGTGGCTACTGCTAGGGTAGTCCTAGGAAATCCTTAGCTCTAACTAGGCTTTAGATTTCACTTCTGCAAATGGACAAGTGGGTATATGGGGGGCCCGAAGGAGGGGGCAGAAATACAGCCCCTGCGAAGTGGACTCTGTGATTTCACTTAACGTTTTGGGATTCACTCTACGGCAGATTCACTCTATGGCAGTATACAGACACCCAAGATTTAACCGGTCCCTCACAAAGGTAGACTGAGTCCCGCCCCGCCTCCACTCCCCGTCACCCCTCAGGCGGGCCCAAGGTCAGGGACGGCCCAGGCCCTCACCCCCTGGTTGATGTTTTCGTAGATCGCGTCTGCGCCTTGGTCGAAGGCGCGCTCGAAGAACAGGGCGCCCACAGCGATGGTGAGGGCGAAGGTGGAGGTCCTGCGGAATAGCAGGGAATACAGCCTCGCAGTAATCGCCGGGCCCGCCATGTTCGTCCAGTGCCGAATTCGCCCCTCCGCGCCTGCGTAGCGACGACCTTGCGCTCCAAACGTCCTCGAAGTGCGATACTTTGTGGGATTTGTAGTCCCACTGAATCTCAGTATTCCTTGTTTTGAATCACGAAAACAATAATGGCCTACCGTAGGTGAAAACGCTCACATGATTTAGACTAGGGCAGCCCAAATAGTTTGGTAAGATTTATTGCCCAAATGTTTTTCCTCAATCATTTATTGCTGGTTGACTCTTTTGAACTACAATACCCAGAAGCCCTCGCGCTTCTTCACCACTTCCCCCACCCGCGCCGTCTCCGCTTGATTTCCAATGGTTTCTGGGAATGATGGACTGACACCAGGAAAGAACTACGAATCCCAGCAAGCAGTGCGTGACGCGAGGGCGCAGGAGGAGGAGCTCGCAGCCGTCTGGTCCCGAGAAACCAGGTACCTTCTTTGGCGGAATGTCGAGGGGCAGCCCTTGTCTCCCTCCCCCTCGCGAAGTATTTGGGCTTTTCTGGCTAAGTACGATGGCCTCGTGGCGGGATAGGAAGTGAATAGAGGGGTGAGGGAGTCTGGGCGTCCGGTCCCTGACTCGTTTCTTCGCCGGTCTTAGTGCCAAATCCTGGCCGAGAGTTGGAGCCTTCCGCGAAAGCAAGAATCCTGGGTGCACAGCCCTCAGCCCCGACTCTAGGGGAGGAGAGGTCACCTGCCCTTGCTTTCTGTTCGTTACCCCGTCCTAACCCCACCCCCCCCACCCCCAGGGTTTCTCGTGGAGTACCCAGGCCCCAAAGACCTGAGGGCTCTCATTTCTTCTTGGGAATAGAAAGAGCAAAGGCTTTGGAGCACCGGGCCAGTCAATAATGTTTTCTGGGCGCCTGCTTTGGACTGTGTGTGCTGGGGACCCAACGGTGAACATGTCACTCTCACATGGATCGCTCATGTGATTCTGTGTGTGGGCAGATAGGGAGGTGCAGAAGCCACAAACTAGTAATGTTGAAGGGGAAGCCGGTGAAGGCACTAGTTCAGCTATTAGCTAGGGTGTCCAGGATGACACTCAACCAGAGCGCCGAAGAATGGTAGTGGGTCAAACAGGAAAATGTGGCAAAGGCCGCGAGGCTGTTGCAGTCCTGGGAAGTCTGAGGGAAAAGAGTGAAGTATGAAGAGCTTAGGTCAGCTCATATCTGGCTTTACAGTCCATGGTAAGGAGTCTAGTTTTTTTGACTCGTTTATCTAATTGCATTAGGATGCCTCTGAAGGGTTTTAAGGAGGGATGTGACATAATCTAATTTGTCCTAATGCCATCACTCAAACTACTCGAGAATAAACTGAAGAAGGGAAGTGATTGTGGTAGTTCAATTGAGGCAGGATGATAATTTTGATTAGGGCATGGATTAGAGTAGTGATCAGGTTTGGGATGTGTCTCGGGAGGTTGGACAGACAGAACAGGCTGACAAAGGTATGTAAGTGGTACAGAAAAGAGGATTCAAGATTTGACCTCAAGAACTTAAAACCAACAAGTTTGGGCAGCCCCTTAGACAAATAGGGATTTGGATCTGGAGTTTAGAGATGTCTGAGCTAGATAAAAAATTTATTGCCATAAGGTAGCATTGAAAACTAGGGACTGGATTCCAGGCCTGGACGGGCCTCTGACTTAAAAGTAATGTCTAATTAGGAGAATAGCAGGAAAAATGTGAACTGCTATACACTCTTGGTGAGTTATTGCTACAGCTGTTACTTACTGTTTGCAAGACATCCTATCCCCCAGTGGGCAGGAAGTTGTGAGACTCTTGGGAAGGAAAACTTCTGACAATAACTGACAGCAAATTGGGCTGATAAGTTCAGAGGTGGGATGGGTAAGGAAAACCGCAGGGAGTTAAGGTGTGCTTGCTTTTATTTTTGTCATTTTGGAGTAAAACATGATTTCTTTAACCTTAATTCAGCAATTATTATTCTAAACATAAAACTAGAAAAATGACTTCAGCTTATTCTTTGATTAATGTTTACACTCAAGTTGAATGAACTAAGTTCCTTTAAATATTCAGTACTATTTACAGCTTATTGCCTTCTCTTACACATTTAACACCACTTATAAACTTAATATGCTTGATTTTCTTTTTATAAAGTTTTATTTATTTATTCATACAGAGTTGGAGTACAGGCCAGAGGTGCAGGGGCGGTGAGAGGTGTCACCAGAGACAGAGTGGGGAGCAGAACTGGCAGATCAACAAAGTACACTGCTGAGGGGAGCAGCGGGCGGGTCAGGAGAGGTCTGCTGCACCATGTGGGTCACCTCCAGGGCAGGGATCGAACTCATGAAGTGGCTTTAGCTTCTTAGTGCTGTGCTTTCACCCGCTGCGCCACCAGGGAGCGCCCAGCTCACTGCTTTTAACAGACTTAATGAAATTCTTTTATGTCACTGGTCCTGAATCTGGGGAGCTTAAAAATAATAGACTCCATCGCTCACATAAAATTAGAATATGGGTGCACCCTTATTAGTAGTTTGCACAACACCCCAGGTGATTCTAATATGTAGCCAGTGTTTTCTGTCATTGCTAATCACTCAATGTAAAATAAGAAGTCTAATGATAATTACTAACATATATTTTTATCAATTACCTAACTATGTATTTTAACTTTTATATTTTAAATTGGAATTGCAAGGCTTTTCTGTCATATACTCAACATATCAAAATGTTTTCAATGTTACAGTTATTTTTGGGTTTTTTTTTTTTTTTAAGCTTTCTTTTATTTACTTAATGCATCTAGCTCCCTGGCAGGGATCATATTCATGCCTCAGTGGCTGGCAATAGCTAGATAGTGCTGAGACTTAAGGAGGACCCTCAATGTTATAGTTCCTTTTAAAGGTCACGTCTACACTGATTATTGCTAAACATAAGCCAGGAACATAAATATCATGAGTTTGATTTACTCATGCAATTCTAAATTTCCCTGGAGTGTGACAGGATAGTTAACATATAAAGAAAACAGTTTTAGCCTCTCTAAATAATTGTGCTTAGCATTCCAGTCAAGTTGGGGGCTAGTAAGCTGAATATAATTGTTCCAGTTTCTAACTGGGATATCCATGGGCGCTGTGTCTACCCAGACTGCTATTCCCTGGGGAAGCCTTTTCTCCATGTGTTTCCTTCTGACAAGTACTAACTAGGAGGGTGATATGCTCTATAATTAAAACGCACAATTCTAGCTAACCTACCTTCCTCACCCCACTTCCCAACCCAGAAAGACTTCATTTTTAATAAGCTCCCTTCTTGGGAGCCATGGAAAATTTTGAACAAGAGTCTTTTCTTAAGAAGGTTGGTCTGATGCTACCTGGGATGCGGTGAACTGAGGAGGCTGGGGGCAGGGGGGTGAGGAGAAGAAAATGGACTTGGAGAGTGGTGGTAACAAAAGGCCAGATGGTATTTGGAGCCCAGACTGGGGGTAGCAGAAGGGAAAGGCAGAGGTGGTTCTGAGTCTGGGTATCTGGTTTAGGAGCCTCCTTCAGACTATTTTTACCTTTCTTATTTGGAAACTCCAGCCTCCTGGGGCCCATAACTATCTGATGAGAGAAACTGTCTCCAGCCTGCAGCTCCCTGGAGCCGGCATTCAGGTTCAGCCAACCTTCACTGGGCCAGGTCTGCTTGGAATCAGGGCATGCCCTGTAAGCCTTCAGCCTGGGACTGAAGGAACTGTCTGCATCCCTTTTAACACCACCTATACCTAGCAGTGACCCTGGTCATGGAATCTTCCATGGCATTCTTCTGGGGGAGGAAATAGAATTTATTATTACAGCATTTTTCTTGGGGGAGGGGACATTTTTAAATTTTTAAAACAACTAATACTATATATAGAAACTTAGAAAAACACAAAATGAAAAAGAAAAAACCCATAGATGATCCTATTCAGGCATAACCGCAGTAAACGTTCTGTGTCTGCTGGCTTGGGGTGGGGGAACTTGTGTGAGTGCCTGTCTCCTTAAGAAAGTGGTATATTTTACATACTGGGTATCTGATTCAGTTATGATAATAAGCTGTTTTTCATTTAGCAATATGGAGTGAACATTTGTGTGAGGAAATAGCTTCCTTTGACTTGATTTTTTAATGGCTGTGCTTCGCTCTATTGAACAGATGTGGCTCATGCCCTGCTCTTGCTCTTTGCCAACTGTGGGCTCCTTCTGCCCACGATGGTTTTTTTTTTTTTTTTTTTTGGGTAAGACATTTAGATTTCAGTTTTAGGACAAGCAATGTTGCGGTGGCAATCTTGGTACCTAGGTCTTTGAGATCATCTCGGATCACTTCCTTAGAGGATTTCCCTGTTGGATGCAGGCCCCTGCCTTGGTGTCCCCTGGCACAGAGCTTATTACCTGGTCCGGTTACTGGAGGCTCCAGTCAGCCACCTCCAGCCAGCAATATTCAGTGCCCCTTCCTGTGGGAGCAGGAACTGCATTGGGGGCTGTGAACCCCAGTATGATGGAGGGGAAATGCTCAGCAAATGTTTGGCTGCTGAACAGATGACTAAAAAGGGAACTGAGAACTTTAGGGCTGTGTGTGTGAGGCTGTTTGGGTGGGCGCTTGTACTTCACTAAGGAGTGTTTGGGATGCATGGCACATTGTTCCTGTGGCCATAAGAGATTGTAAAAGTGATTTGATTTTTCCATTCGTTTATTCCACTGTATTTGATATCAATTGCTATATAACAAATGACCCCAAAACTTTGTGACTTAACACAAAGTCATGGTTTTCTGATGGTCAGGAATTTGGGGTGGCTTAGCTTGGTGGCTCAGGCCCAGTGTCTTATGAGGTTGCAGTCAAATGTCAGCCAGGGTTATCCTCATCTGAAGGCTTGACTGGGACTGGCAGGTGGGCTTCCAAGTTTGCTCATGGCTATTAGCAGAAGGTCTCAGTTCCTTGCCACTTGCGCCTCCCCAGAGGGCCGCTCATGATAAGGCAATCAGCTTCCCGCCAGAGAAAGGGAGCCAGTAGGCTGGAACCTGCAGTGCCTTTGGTAACCTGATAATGGAAGTGACATACCGACTGTCACCTCTGCGTTATTCTCATAGTCACACAGACTAATCCTGATAGGGAACGACATACCCTGCCAACACCAGGAGGTAAGAGCATGGGGAACCACCAAGGCTGGCAGCCACATCTCCACATGTGAGTTGAGCACCACTGGGATACCGGGCACTGCTCTCAGTACCTGGCATGTGCGATTTAGTCATACTAGTGATATTATAACATGGTATCATTGCCCTTGTTCTTCTAGAGAGGCTCAGAGCGTAAGTATTTGCCTAGTTTCACAGCCTGATGATGACAGTGGTAGATTCAGGCTTAGGTTGAGTGATTTGAGCAGGCTTTGGCTTGAGGGGCGTCCGTGTGATTTGGGGCAAGTGTTTGGCCTCTGTTCTTCAGCCCATTATCTGTTGCCCTAGGCTAGTATTTGTCCAG